CCCAACAAAACTTTCCTGCTGGATGACTGCACTAGTGCATATCAAACGCAGAGCATAACGCTTTGGAGGTTTTTATCCTATGCACGATTTAAATGTGTGTTTATTGCTTGGTCAAAGTAATGTTAAATGTAGACCGTTCGTTAAAACGAGCTTTGTTTAATCTGTTACAGGAATTGGGAGAGTTCTGGAAACTTTAAAGAAAATACAAAACGATAATGTGAACTGTAAATTGTGAGGAGATATATAATTCAATTTGTTTCAAAACAAAGTAGCTAGAACCTGAGGTTTTAGTGCTTTAGTTTCAGTTTTATGTTATAAAAAATTACGACACTAACATTAATACTGAAATATGTCGTGGTTGTCATAATAATGTATGAGAAATATTACATTGTAGATGGTCGCATAAGATGAATTTTAATAAAACTTTTTTGTGAGAAAAATTTGGAAGAACACGAAAAAGCTTTGTTTAGTTCGTGCTCGGTTATAAATACTGTAAAAGGTAAAAAAAAACTTTTACTACAAAGTTTATAGAACAAATGATTTACTACAAAGTTTCTAGAACAAATGATTTACTACAAAGTTTCTAGAACAAATGATGTTGTGTTATTGAATTGATACAAACATTAAAAAGTTCGTGACTTTCGCATCACGACTTCAAAATCTTCATTTTATTGTTTTGTCTTCCCTGAGAAGAACAAACGATACGTTTTGCATTGTATTGTATTCATATCCTCATAAACGTTGAATTTCAGTTTTGAGACTAAAGTATGGAAAATGAAGTCATCCTATAGTCAATGGAAGAAGCAAAAATTTCAGTTTTGAGAATAAAGTAGGGAAAATTAAGTCATTCTATAGTCAATGGAAGAAGCAAACGTTTCAGTTTTGAGAATAAAGTAGGGAAAATGAAGTCAATCTATAGTCAATGGATGAAGCAAACGTTTCAGTTTTGAGAATAAAGTAGGGAAAATGAAGTCAATCTATAGTCAATGGATGAAGCAAACGTTTCAGTTTTGAGAATAAAGTAGGGAAAATGAAGTCATTCTATAGTCAATGGAAGAAGCAAACGTTTCAGTTTTGAGAATAAAGTAGGGAAAATTAAGTCAATCTATAGTCAATGGAAGAAGCAAACATTTCAGTTTTGAGAATAAAGTAGGGAGAATTAAGTCAATCTATAGTCAATGGAAGAAGCAAACGTTTCAATTTTGAGAATAAAGTAGGGAAAATGAAGTCATTCTATAGTCAATGGAAGAAGCAAACATTTCAGTTTTGAGAATAAAGTAGGGAAAATGAAGTCATTCTATAGTCAACGGAAGAAGCAAACTCGAAAAGAAATAACTGTATAATATTATTTTGAAGAATGGTCCGAGTGCTATTTCTTCGCTGAAGAGATCAAGAGACAGCGTTTGACAAAGGCTTAGATGAAGGCTTTATTTTTTCTACTTTCATTTATGAAAGAAAGGTCTTGCCTTTTTCAATTGCAATGCATTTCACGGTTGGGCAAAAGAGAATTGGAATAGAAAAGGTTGGATGTTTTATTTATGGACCCGTCTAAAGCTTTTGCAATGTTGAACGCAATTTGCTTATGACAATTGGCTGAAACATTTTCTGACGAAGAGATTACAGCTTGTGGTTACCAGGGAACCATTTGGAAATGGGCGAGTGTCAGGATGGCCGGAAGGTGCTGTTTTGTCGTTTTCTTTTTGAATATTTTGCTCCAGTTTAGTCTCCCCGCCTAAAGAAAGGTACTCTTGCATTAGAAAAACTACAAAGAACGGCTTCTAAATATTCCCTAAGAAAACGCAATGAATTACACATGCCGAAAAATTAACGCACGTATTCTAAAAATGACCTAAAAGCTCCTCTCTAGTCAATGGCAAAGTCATTTCACCATCAATGGCAAAATTTTCACTGAACTACTTCAAATCAAGCTATTACAGTTGTGTGAGAATACCGTTTTCGAATAATCGTACCTGTCGTACTCAATGAGCGTGAACGAGTGAGAGCTTTAAACAAAATACGGGCGTTTAAGTTTGCTGTAATGGCCCTCACTGCATGGAGAAAAAACGACTTATCACGTGTGCTATCTTTAATAGAGTGCTACTAAACAATGCACAATTTAAGAATTGGCTTAGAGTCATTACTATCAACATTTTCAAATTTGCAACTCATTTTAGGCTTTTAAGACCCCGTTTAGACGATACCGGTAGACTTTGAAAACGACGGAAAACACTTACGGTTTGGGGTAATGTTCACCCGACGTCGGTAAGAAAAAGTAAGAAACCCTAAAACTAACCGTAATAGTTTGAAAACGATGGAAAACACTTACGGTTTGGGGTAATGTTCACCCGACGTCGGTATGAAAAAGTATGAAACCTTAAAACTAACCGTAATAGTTAGAAAACGATGGAAAACACTTACGGTTTGGGGTAATGTTCACCCGACGTCGGTATGAGAAAGTATGAAACCCTAAAACTAACCGTAATAGTTTGAAAACGATGGAAAACACTTACGGTTTGGGGTAATGTTCACCCGACGTCAGTATGAAAAAGTATGAAACCCTAAAACTAACCGTAATAGTTTGAAAACGGTATGGCTATCCGTAGAATGTTGAAAACGATATAAAACTATGCCGTTTCCGTTACGTGTGAACACCTAACCGTAAGAGTTTCATTACAGTTCAGCGAAACGTTTTTTCTCTGGTAAAAATGACGTGTTGATATGGTAAGCAATTATAGGTAGACTTCAAATAAATACAACTCAAATAAATTGAAAGCCGGCGTCGATCCGGTGCAGTGTGAACACAACATCAAAACGGAGCAACACTCTAACGGCATTGTGTGAACAGTCCAAAACATTATGAAAATCTACCGGTAGAGTTTAGTATCGGTATTGTGTGAACGTAGGCTAAGAGCAAATCGCTGCTATATAATTTAAAATGTTGATTCCTTTGAACTTTGGTATGATCTCCTAGACATTGTGCTGAACTAAAAGCCTAACCATCTTCATTCACAGAAAAACTCAATTTTTTTTTCATTTTAAACTTTTAAATGTTGTTCATGTAAATAATATTGTATATTTCTCTTTATAAACTGAAAAGTACGAACTTAGGTAGAAAACTTTATCAACTTTATTTTTGGGAGATAATTTATACAGGGATAACCTTATCGTCTACTTTTCGCACACCTGATAATAATAGTGTGATTATATGATTTTGATTGACAGACAAACGATTGCTGCGATGATAAAGTCCGAACTGATAAATTTTGTCAGAGAATATGATTACACTTTGATGTCCTTTTTGCATAGTTATTATAAAAAAACTGTTTTATGTTCATGCCGAGTGCAATATAGGACTTTTCAGAAAAAGTCCACGCGATGCATGCCAAGAAACCAATCAGTTTTTTGTGTCACGTGTTGTCAAAGAAATGCTCGGCAGCTGCACGAATGAGGCGTTAGTCGATTATAATTGCCGGCCAATATGCGTTGTGACATTAACAACTTTAACTATCTTGGGAATACTTTTGACTTTTTCCATAAAACATTTTAAAGTTTTTTGCGTCAAACGATAACGTTGTTTGTGTCAGACGGATTTTTCAAAGTGAAGAAACGAGTTAACAGGTCAGTAGAGTTTAGACTTTTCTGTCATTAAGCAGGTGCCAGTTTTTGTATGTCGCTTCTATTGTTGTATTACTTTGAGTTTGTGCTTATTTCATGGCTAATGATAATTTCATTGCTATAATAAGTTCGACTAAGTCCTTTCGAATATTGCATTCGTATAATTTAAAAACAAATTTTACCTCTTTTGACTTACCAAGCACGCAATCTTGGGCAAAAACAGTGACTATATAGTCACAGGGAGATTAACGGTGGCGTGACGACAAGTAAATCTGCAACAGTCGGGTTTAAGATGAACATGGTTCCCAATCGTAGCTACCAACCATATAGAACAAGCTATTACATTGGCACAAAGTGCTGCCTTGAATACAATGACCAAAACAATTGTTTCAAAAATCGTCCACGCTGCTGTCGCCATAGTTGCATTGAACAACTCTAAGGAATGAAAACCAGCGTTTATAATTGGTTGTAATTGCTTTTGCCCACTTTTAGACACCACACTGTTAAGACATAAGTGACATTAGGAGTTGTATATAAGAAAACTTTGGCAAAGAATTTGGGTTTTTGAATTTACGGAATTTTATTTACTGCATCTAAAAAATGACGAGGTTTTAATGTTTACAGTGGCATGATTACTCAGATCACAATCTACTGCACATGCACCGCGTTAATAATGAAAATACGTAAGGTCTATTTCATAATTTATCATGCCAAATTTTCTTGTATAAATGACACGCGACTATCAAGATCGTGATATATTAAAATTTTGCTATATGGTTGACTAATATAGTTCACCAGTATAGTGTATGTATAAGTACTTCATGGTGTACTTTTTTAATGTAGTTCCCCAGTGTAGTGTATATATGGGTACTTCGTGGTGCACTTTTTTAACGTAGTTCCCCAGTGCAGTGTATATATAGGTACTTCATGGTGCTCTTTTTTAATATAGTTCACCAGTGTAGTGTATATATATGTACTTCATGGTGAACTTTTTTAATATAGTTCACAAGTGTAATGTATATATAGGTACTTCATGGTGAACTTTTTCAATATAGTTCACCAGTGTAGTGTATATATAGGTACTTCATGGTGCACTTTTTTAATATGGCTCACCAGTATAGTGTATATATATGTACTTCATGGTGAACTTTTTTAATACAGTTCACCAGTATAGTGTATATATATGTACTTCATGGTGAACTTTTTTAATACAGTTCACCAGTATAGTGTATATATATGTACTTCATGGTGACCTTTTTTAATACAGTTCACCAGTGTAGTGTATATATAGGTACTTCATGGTGCACTTTTTTAATATGGCTCACCAGTATAGTGTATATATATGTACTTCATGGTGAACTTTTTTAATACAGTTCACCAGTGTAATGTATATAGAGGCACTTCATGGTGAACGTTTCGTTGGGATCGACATGCAGTCAAAGGAGGATAAAATTTGTTTGGAAATCATACCAATCCAATATCTCATTATGTATACAGCTCCCAATATTAAATGTTTCTTCATTGTTTTAACAGTGTTGTGTCTTAAAGTGGACAAAACCTACAGTTTCCTTCCTACAGTTGCTCTAAACAACTATATGGCGGCGACAGCGTGGACGATTCTTGAAACGGTAGTTTTGGTTATTGTATTCATAGCAGCACTTTGTGCAAATGTTGGCTTGTTTTATATCGTTGGTACGACAAGAACGCTTCAAACAAAAGCAAATGTATTTATCTTAAACCTGGCTGTTGCAGATTCGCTTGTCGCGGTTATTAATCTCCCTGTAACTATAATCACTGTTATTTCCCAAGATTGGGTGCTTGGTAAGACGCTTTGTCAAATATCTGGATTTTTAACATTGTTCACATTCGTAGCATCGTGTATGGCTTTATCCATGATCAGCATAAATCGATACCATGCTATAGTTTATTGGACATCTTACAAGAGCAAGTACACTAATCGTAAATGTGCTCTTTATGTTTGCATAACATGGCTTATAACAATCGTGTTATCTATACCTCCGTTTTTTGGTTGGGCGAGATTTGACTTCGATCCAAGACAGAGTTATTGTTTTGCTGAATGGACAGCAAGTAAATCGTACACGATCTTTATGATTGCAACTTGTTTATGTGGTCCGTTATCTATAATGACTTACTGCTATGTTAGAATACTTCGTTATCACGAAGATATTGGCAGAGATGTTCGCCAAATGGTGCTACGTTCTAACAGCCTTTCGGTACAAACTTTTGCTATGGTGAACCAAACACAGGGATCAAGAAAAAATCGTTTGACAAGAACAGTAATAGTGTTAATTGTCGTCTTTGGCATTTGCTGGTCCCCCTTTGCGATCATAATGTTGATCCAAGTATTCTCCAATGCGCATGTTCCACGCGCTGTGGATTTTGGAACCCTGGTTTTGGGATACTTAAACAGTTTTTTCAACGTGGTTGTGTATAACGCAACGAATAAAAAACTTCGACGGCAATTTTTGAATTTTTTTTCAGTGATTATCTTTCGAAAAAAGGACAAACGTTCGCAATACACTGAAGGCGCGCATTGTCACAGTGTCAGTGCATCGACGGGGAATTATATTTAAATTTTAGTCAATATTTTATTGATGCCAAATCATCAGGTACGAGAGAAACCTTTAATGAAATTGTGGTAAACCAAATAAAAAACTTCGACGGGAATTTTTGAATTTTTTTCAGCAGTTAAGTAAGAAAAGACAGTCGACTAATTGGTCGCATTTTCACAGTGCATATATTGACGGAAAACTGTGCCCAAAATGAAATCAATGCTTTAAATGATCAGAAAGCGAAAGAAACATAGAGAAAAATTGTGGTTAACTATAGCGACGCTTTAACGAAGGAAACCCACCGGAGTTTCAGGAAATTCGACAAACAAGACGCTTTGCTGAAAGACATGTAATACAGAAAGTTTCAGATTTAGTATTGCACAGTTAAAGATTTGCCTATTTGCAGCCTTAAATCTAGAGAATAGCTATTAGGAAGGCAACTTAAATCCATATAATAATGAGTGTAGTAAAAATATTGTGTGTATTGTTATTTCATAGTTTAGTAATAAATATACGGAAGGAATATAGGAAACGTAGCTATACGTAGCTAAAGTTTGTTTTAAATTAATCTGTTTCGCAACAGTGCCGTTTTCTTTTATGTTTTCCCTGTTTGCGCTGTCTTATACTAATAGAGAAGAATTTTGTAAGAACCTTCAAGCAGGTACAGTAATCTAGCTGGAGTATTCCCGCCATAAGTCGGGAATCTTGTCCTTCATAATTACATCGCTTCGTAAGTCACTTTGACTTGCCATTAAACTTTTGTTTTTGCTCTTCATTGCTTACGTGCATGCACTTTACTTAGTTATCCAAACATGCTCTATTGTTTTCAGCCATGCTCTATTATTTTCATTCAAAATATTTAACATGTTCAATATTTGCCGAACGTCGCGAGTGATAAAAAACTCGAAGTTTGACGCATACTAAAGCTTCCTTCCCAATAGGTTCCTTTTCATTGCGCAATGGATTATTTTAACTCCTTAGCTTCAATATGCTCTAAACTACTTTACACTCAGACTTGACAAGCTCAAAAACTTGCACACATGCGTAACAGTACCTAAATATAAACAAACTCTATGACAAAAAAAATGAAAAAATGAAAAAATATGAGTTATAGTCTTTATGTGAAAAGTGTGAAAATGCATGAATTATAGACTTTATGTGAAAATATATGTTATAGTTTATATTTTATGCCTTTTTGTGGTAGACTATACTTCACAAGCTTTCATGCAAAGGTTCACGCATTTTTTGTTGATATTTGAGTGATTCATTACAATCAGAAATCAGGAATACATAGAATAGAAATATAATTGATAGAAAGAAAAATAGTCATGGCTTCCCGTATAACATAACATGTGCTAAGATAACATATATACTTCATGCAATAATATTATAGTGTACATTACATCATCAATAATACTTCATATTGCTAACACTCCCACTTAATGTGCACTATAAATGTTCTTTAAGAATTACGAATTCTTAAACTAAAATTTCTTTGACACCTAACATGTCTCGAAAGTTTTGGAATGTTTGCTTTGGTAAACTTTTCGTCATAACATCCGCTAACATCTGATCTGTACTACAGTATTGAACAATAATGGAATTATCGTTGACCTTTTCTCTAACAAAATGATACGCAACGTCAATGTGTTTAGTGCGGTTGTGAAATCGTGGATTCCTCGAAAGTTCAATTGCCCCTTGGTTATCTTCGTTCAGTATAGATGGTTGATCTTGATTTATTCCAATATCCGCTAGTAAACGTCGTAACCATATGATTTCTTGTGTTGCATAACTTAATGCAACATACTCAGCTTCAGTCGAAGATCTTGCAACACAAGATTGTCGCTTGCTGCTCCAGCTGACGGTTGATTTGTTTATCTGGAACACGTATCCTGATGTAGATCTTCTTGTATTTACATCACTTGCCCAATCAGCATCTGAATATCCAACCACTTCGCATGTTGAATCTTTGCTTTGAAAAACAAGACCATAATTGATTGTGCCTTTTAGGTATCTCAACACTCTTTTGCTCCTGCCAATGCTCCTTTCCTGGCTTTGACATAAATTTTGAAAGAATACCTACAGCAGATGCCAAGTCAGGTCGAGTTGCCGTTGTCACGTATGTCAAACATCCGATAAGTTTTTGATATTCATGAATATTTGTTGCGGTCTCTTCTTCGGGCAGATTCTGAAAATGTTTTCCAGGTTCTAACGGTGTTGAAACAGGTTTGCAATGTTCCATGTTGAATCGTTTCAAGATTCCTTCCAAATATTTTGATTGACTAATTGTCAATTTTCCCCTTTTTCTGTCTCGTTTGATCAGCATACCAAGGACATGTTTGACTTCATTTAAATCTTCAACTTTGAACTTTGATGCAATGGCTTTCTTCTCCACCTTCAGCATTTTCGTAGAATTGGAAAATAGGAGAATATCATCAACATGAATAGATAGTATCACGAAATTCACATTTCCATCTTGCTGTTTAATAGATTTCACGTACAGACATGGATCACAGCTCATTTGATTGTATCCTTTTGATTTCAGGTATGAGTCGATGGCGTTGTTCCAACATCTGGCTGACTGTTTTAAACCATAGATGCTTTTTTAAATTTGCAGACATAGTCAGGATGCTTCTTACTAATATAACCTTCAGGTTGTTGCATATAAATTTCTTCATCCAAATTTCCTTGTAAAAACGCTGTTTTGACGTCCATTTGGTGAACTTCCCAGTCTTTTGCATTCGCTAAAGCTAACAACGATCGAACAGTTGTATTTCGTATGACGGGTGAAAATACTTCATGATAGTCGACACCTTCAGCTTGTGAATAGCCTTGTGCAACTACGCGAGCTTTATATCTCTGTATTTCTCCATTTTCGTCTCTCTTCACCTTGAAAACCCATCGACTTCCAACAATATTCCTATTATCTGGTAATGGGACAAGTTCCCAAGTATCGTTCTCGATAAGTGAATGAAATTCGGAGTCGGTTGCTTTTCTCCAGTCATGTGCATGTTCTCCAGAATAGGCTTCGTTGATGTTTGCTGGTTCGTTGATTTCCGCAGTTAAATCATTGGCGATGTAGCATTCTTCATCAAACCTTTGGGGAGTCTTCTTTGTCTCCTTTCACCAATGTTTTGTACTTCATTCATAAATCTCTCCTCGTACGTTACTCCCACTGGCTCGTTATCGTTGATTTCTGCATCCATGTTGACGTTTTCGATAATTGGATTCAAATCAAAATCTTTACCTGCTTGCGTTGGGGTTTCTTCGATAATCACCGGAACATTTTGCTCTTTCTTTTGATCAAATGCAGTCAATGGTCTTTTGTCTTCACCAAAGTCATGGAATTGTGTTTCCACAAACATTGCATCACGGCTACGGATGAATTTCAATCCAATAGGGTCATAAAACTTGTACCCTTTGTTCCGTCAGGGTATCCCACAAAAGTAATTTCCGGGATTTTGGGTCTAACTTCTTACGCTGGTTCTCTGGAATATGTACATAGCTCACACAACCAAATACTCGTAGATTAGCTACATCCGGTTTTCTTCCATATAGACATTCGTATGGAGTCATATCCTTTACTGATGTTGTAGGACTTCGATTACGTAAATAGACGGACGTATTTACAGCCTCAGCCCAAAATTCATTTGGCAAATGTGAATGAGACAGCATAGAACGAGCAGATTCAACAATGGTACGGTTCATTCTTTCTGCAATGCCGTTTTGCGCCGGATTATGAGGTACACTTAACTGATGGATGATACCATTTTTCTTCAGGAAATCTTTAAATTGCTGTGAGCAATATTCCCCACCGTTATCAGATCGTAGGGTCTTGATAGGTTTGCCAGTAATGTTGCGAACATGACTATGAAATTCCTTGAATTTCTCTAAAACTTCGCTTTTCTTCTTTATGAAGTAGATGTACGTATACCTTGAATAGTCGTCGATGAATGTGATGTAGTAGCGCGATCCACCAAAAGAGTTTACAGACATGGGACCACACACATCACTGTGTACAAGCTCAAACGGTTGGTTGGCACGGTAATGGTCATCTTTCGGATAAGAACACCGATGTTGTTTCCCCATCATACATCCCTCGCAGAATGAGATATTTTCATTTACATCACTCATTCCTTTAACCAAATCTCCATTTAACAATTTACGAACATTGTTCATTCCCAAGTGCCCAAATCTGCAGTGCCATAAATGCAAGCTTGAATTTGATGCGTCCTTTGCAATGTTCACATGTTCATGTCCAATCCTTAATTTGTACAATTTTCCATGTATGTCCCCAACAGCTAGAAGTTTGGAATTACGAGATATCTTACACTTGTTACCTTCAAACATAACAGTAGCTCCAAGTTTTATCATGGCATAGACTGATAGTAGATTCTTGTCCAATTCTGGTAAGTACAATACGTTGCGTAATGATATGTTCTGAACGTGATCATCAAGTATTGCTTTCAAATGATAGGTACCTTTTCCATATGCCAAGATTGATCTATTATCACCTAGATTCACCACCGAGGGTTGCTTGAATGTCACATAATCCGTCAGTGCTTCTCTTTCATATGACATATGCTGGGTAGCACCAGAATCTATGATCCAATCTGATCTTCCAATAAGTTCAGATCCATTGCTTATCAAGGCTTCATCCTCATGCACTTTGTCATCTTGTCCTTCGGCACAATGCGCTTGAGTGTTTCTGTTTGCACCATTCTTAGTTTTCTTGTTTGGACAGTCTCGAGCATAGTGTCCTTTTTCTTGACAATTGTGACATTTTCCTTGAAAAGTTTTTCTGTTGCTTCCATCGTTCTTCCCTTGTTTATTATTTTTATCACCACGATTCCTACCACGAATAAAATTTCCTCTATGAGCAGAATATGCATCTTCCTTAGTATTCTTCAAATCATTAGTACGGTCCACATCATTCAGAATTAAGTTCTTTACTTTTCAAAGAGATCTCTGTTTCTCCCATGGCATCTAAGGCTGTTATTAATGGTTTGTATTGCTCAGGTAAGCTAGCTAACAGAGTCATAGCCAATTCTTTGTCATCCACGCTGACTCCCATTTCCTTGAGTTGCTCATGCAGCGATTTGAGATGGCTGATGTGTTCAAGCACACTATCTCCAATATGGTATTTACAGGAATAATACTGTTGGCGTAGTCTCACCTTCTGAAGAAGTGATTCTCGTGCGAATTGATTTCTAATTGCATCCCATGCCTCCTTGGCAGTTTTCGTATCTCGCACGTGGATCTGTTGCTCGGGCTCGATGGCCAAACAGATGTATGTCCACGCTTTCTTCGCAGCCGAGTTAAACTTTCTTCGCGTTTCAGCACTAGCATCCTCATTTGGAAATTCAGCTGTTCCCTCCGCATGCTCGAAAAGATCCAGACTTTCCAAATACAGCTTCATGTTGAAAACCCATGAGCGGTAATTACTGCCGTTCAGTTTCGCGAACCTTAACGCATTCGACATATCCGACGTAGCCATGCTTAAATTTCGACTATATATTTTATTGCAATGACTTTTCACTCAAATAATGACCTTCTACGTCCTGGGCCCATAACCTGTTGATATTTGAGTGATTCATTACAATCAGAAATCAGGAATACATAGAATAGAAATATAATTGATAGAAAGAAAAATAGTCATGGCTTCCCGTATAACATAACATGTGCTAAGATAACATATATACTTCATGCAATAATATTATAGTGTACATTACATCATCAATAATACTTCATATTGCTAACATTTTTATGGGCAAGACAATTATTGATGCAATTTCATGCAATTTCATGCAAAAGTGTATGTCCACACATTTTTACGCAAAAGAGTAGCTATAGGATACGCATTTTTACGGCAAAGACTATTTTTCACGCAATTTCACATAATTTCACACAATTATGCATCAATCATGAACCAATTTTCCTACCTCCTGTTTAATCCTCAAATTTCTGTACCTTAACCTTCGTTGATCATTCCTTCGAAAACAAACTTAAACTATAAGCAGCTCAAAAACCTGTTTAGGTTTTTTTATGAACCCATTTGACATATGTATATACTAAATACATTCCTTGATTCATGTGCAATGTTTGTCACTTGCACGATCTCACGTGACTTCCACGTATGTATGGAAGATCATGCCAAGATCTTGCTAGATTGTACTCATGCAAGATATTTAAAAAAATTACGCTAGATCTCGTCAAGATCTTGCATGAGTAAAGTCTTGCCGAACACATTGCAAGATCTTGAATAAGTAAAATTTTGCCTAACATCTTGCAAGATCTAACATAAGTAAAATCTTGCCTAATATTTTGCAAGATCTTGCATGAGTAAAAACTTGCCTTACATCTTTCAAGATCTTGCTGGAGTAAAATTTTGCCTTATATTTTGCATGATCTTGCATGAGGAAAATCTTGCCTACTATCTTGAAAAGTAATAGAAAAAGTAAATAGTGTTTGATAAATACATGGTATATATAGATACAATTGTGCTAGGTGTCTATCCAAGAGAGCAATTCCCATAGAGCGAAGAATACAATTGTATCTATTATATGTCCTCAACCAAAACTCTCGATCACACGTTAGGTGCTTGAACTGTGTTCCATTTCATCTAGCTATCTTCAAGCTGGCGTCGTCGTTTCTTTTCTGTCACTCTTGATTTCGTTACATTCGTGGAAGTTTCATTTTCAAGTGTTTTTCTACATGTGTCATATGCCATATGATTTTTTTTATAATATGTGTCATCAAGATTAGAGCATTGTTTACGCAAAAAATATTCACATACAAAGATATGGAGAAAAAGAAAACATCTCTAACTTTGTCACGGATACGACGAGTGGGGTAACAAAGTGTTGGTGAGTTTGATATACATTCGTCAAGCCTAAAAAGACAAGCAGCATGCTAAAAACATATACCGATTATATAGAGTACTTTGCTCGCTCAGTCACAAATTTTCAGATAAATCATCTGCGCATGCGCAGTCTGTTTCAACATACGCAGTCGACTTGACCAGCTGCTTTAGTTTCATGATCATGGCAACGACCAACTAAATTAATTAGCACCGATTTTGAAGTAAATAGCATGCTTAGTAACAATTTAAAAGAGAAATCATCTACGCATGCGCTCGAGCATGCACAGTCTACTCGACCAATAGTTCATAATCATGGCAACGACTAACTATATGTACTTGCACTACATTTGTGCCAATTAGCTCACTTATTTGCAAATTATCAAAGAAATAAACTGGGCATGCGCAGTAGTGACATTGATTATACCACAATTTTCGTAAGCCTTTGAATTTTGGTATATAAATATAAAGCCAATACTAGGTATTGTAGATGTCAACTAGTAGTGAAAGCTGGGTGCGATTTAGTATGCAGTGGCTTAGGGGCGTACCCCGAGCAAGGCCTATCGCAGGTGATCTCGGGGTCTGATGGGCGGAAGCTTGCTATTGCATCTCCCAAGTAGGATAGCGTGGAGGGGCCGAAATCTCCTACCGAAACGTTAACATGCGGCATTCTAGTGCCTTGCGCTTAAGAAGGTATCGGAAAGCATGGACCGAAAACGGGGTTTTTTGCTTTCGAATTTTATCTTTTTGTTTATATTTTCTCATAAAATAAACCAAGCAATGTTTTAATTAACTTCTTCTGACACTGTGACCTTTAATTGCTTTACACAATTTTTATTGGTTTATATTTTTTCTGATATAACTCTCTCATTTGCAGTTTTCTCGTGTATCACGAGCAACTTATCCATAGGCGACATGACAGACAGGATTATCTTGTTCCCTTAATTAATATGAGATGCTCTGGTGCTCAACTATCTTGCGGTATCGGGTGGCATGGACCAAAAATGACATTTTGATGTTCTCAGAAAAGCAAATAGAACATCCAAGAATACTGCATGTTCAAACAATTTCTGCCTTTTTGACTTATAACTTAAACCAAATCTAAGCATGTTTCTACGTTTCTTACTTGTTACCTTTTAAAATGTAACTTTCTCATAACTCTTTTGCGATGAACGAGAGCCTCCTTATGGCGGGAACGCGTCCTGAACGCGTTCGAAGAAAATTTTTGAACGCGCTCTTGATTATTCAAAAAAACTCGGTGTAACATGGAAATTTCCGAAATTGAACACTTGTATAACGAGTATAAATGATGATTACCGATAAATGATCGGATGCGGCTGACAACGCGTTTTGATACGCGTTCCACTTAAGCCGAACGCAATTAGAACGCAACTGGAACGCATTTTTGGAACGAGTTCGGAACGCGTTCCGGACGTGTTTTCGGTAAAGTTACTTCCGAGCAGTACTGCTCTCTCATCATGAGCGAAGGCATCCATGGGCTTCATTGGAAATAGGGATTATTTACTTTTTCATAATAGTTTCTAAAAAGATATTATTTAGTAAGCCAAGCAATTTGCATCGTCTAAATTAAACCTCGCTTTTAATTCCTACGTTATAAAACTTTGATTAATTTTGGATAGTAAATTTCTTTTTACCTTACAATATTTTCACGATTCAGTCTAAAAAGCAACTTCTCTTCTCGAGTAATTTAGCGATTAAACAGCACCCTTTCGCAATCAAATTAATTCTTTTGATCGCATGGAGACCGCCATCTAATTTATTACGTACCTAAGCGTATATAAAGCATTTCCAACTCACGTACAAAATTTCCTTCACATGACTAAATTAACGCCTATTTAAACGATGTATGTAATAAAAGGTTACCTTGACAACTCAAGAAAGCCCTCCTTTCAAGCATTTGCAAAACCTCAATTTCATTTCGAACTCTTCATTTTCTCGTAGCGTAGCCAAAAGAAGAGGCATCAAATCAGGATACTCATGTCCATCATCACAGCCATTTTGATTTATCCCTTGATATTTTTCAGCGTCAAGCTTATCTGAAGTGATGTTATTTGCTTAAAACGTGTGACATGCGATTTGGAGAGATAAAAGAATGTCCAATACAAAGTATATGACATTAAAAGACAGTAGCGTTAAATTCTTCCTTAATTTAATGCTTGTTTTTCTTCATGATCTTCATTTTTTCAAGTGGAAGCCTAGAGTGAAATTTTCATGCATGGCTATAATTATATTGACAAATACATATTCCAACAAGGATAAATTTCTTTATGACAATGTGATTCAATGAAAAGGAACTTGGAAGTCCAAAACGAGCTTTTCAATTCATCCAAAAATGGCAAATAACAAGTCTTTATATATATTTATTGAGCTAAACAAATATTGTTCACATTTTTTTCATCTTTAGTAACACCAACACACAGTTAGCACATACAATAATTGAAAGTTTCTACCTGTGAATGAACGTGAATTAATCCTTCTACAATCTCACCGAGAAGCGGCCACATCCTCTGTTAGTCGTTGTAATATCCCTCGCTTCAAAAACGTTCCTTAGAGTACTCTTCGCAACATGCTCCATCTGTATATACAAAGTTTGCAAAGTGCAATTTCAATCTTCTTGCAAACCTTTCGCAATCAGATTCCTCGTCCTAAAAGAAAGACGCTGGTAGTTATTTTTACATATCTTCAGAAGCTACCGTATACCACATGAGCCAAAGAGCTCTCAAACTGTATATGTGATTAATCGCTATGTGATGCGAAAATGGCGAAAGGTGGAAAAAATCAAAACTTCCAGTAGATTTACACTCTACAAATCAACAATACAATCTATTAACAAGGTAGAACCATTCATCTAATTATTAACATCAATTTGAAAAATTTCATTGAAAACAAATTTTATTGGAAACATATTCTGCCACTACATTTGGTTCAGTTTCTTGCACCTCAATTTCATCTGAATCATTGTTGTGATCAGCTACCTCAAAAGGAAATCTTGGCTTCCTAATATGCATTATCTCATAAGAGGATTGAATACCCCAGCAGGCCTGCTCTATATACAAGTCCCAGCCGTTCTGCTGCTCATTTACCACCTATGTGAAAAAAGGGGAAAAGGTTATTGCAGTTCTAGTCGAGTAATACTAATATAGAATTATTAAAATGCCAACCTAAGACAAATGCCGTTTAAATATACCAGTTGTATTTGCTAAATTTGATGAGTTGTATTTGCTGAAATTATCCTGCACGAATCAGCAAGCTCGTACTATATTGAAATTTCGTTATTATTTATTAATAGTTGACAAGTGCGTGTAAGCATTCCATGGTAACTTTAATAATATCACCGTGTGTTGTGATGGACAAAAAGCTGCAAATTAAAAGAGGATTAACGTTATGAGATTATACAAATTTGAAATTTTCATTTAATGTACAGTTCTTGATATCTCTCGTGTTCATATTGCTAGAACAGTGTCGATTTTAAAAGTGGCCAAAAGCAGCTACAACCGATTATCTACGCAAGTTTTAATGGCGGCGACAACGGGGACAATTCTTGAAACAATTGTTTTGGTCATTGTATTCATAGCAGCACTTTGTGCCAATCTTAGCCTGTTCTACATCGTTGGTACGACTAGAAACCTTCAAACAAAAGCAAATGTATTTATCTTAAACCTGGCTCTCGCAGATCTACTTGTCGCCGTCATTAATCTCCCTGTGACTATAATCACTGTTATTGCCCAAGATTGGGTGCTTGGTAAGACGCTTTGTCAAATATCTGGATTTTTAACATTGCTCACGTTCGTAGCATCGTGTATGGCTTTGTCCATGATCAGCATAAATCGCTACCATGCTATAGTTAATTGGACATCTTATGAGAGCAAGTACACTCGCCGTAAATGTGCTTTTTATGTTTGTATTACCTGGTTTATAACAATCGTATTATCTATACCTCCGTTTTTTGGTTGGGCGAAATTCGACTATGATCCAGGACAGAGTTATTGTTTTGCTGAATGGACAGCAAGTAAATCGTACACGATCTTTATGATTGCAGCTTGTCTATGTGGTCCGTTGTCTATAATGACTTACTGTTATGTGAGAATACTTCGTTATCACGAAGATAGTGGCAGAGATGTCCGCCAAATCTCGCTACGTTCTAACAGCCTTTCGGTACAATCTTTTGCTATGGTTAACCAAACACAGGGATCAAGAAAAAATCGTTTGACAAGAACAGTAATAGTGTTAATTGTCGTCTTTGGCATTTGCTGGTCCCCTTTTGCGATCATAATGTTGATCCAAGTATTCTCCAATGCGCATGTTCCACGCGCTGTGGATTTTGGATCCCTGGTTTTGGGATACTTAAACAGTTTTTTCAACGTGGTTGTGTATAACGCAACAAATAGAAAACTTCGAAGGCAATTTTTGAAATTTTTTACAGCAGTTAACTTAGAAAAGACATTCGACTAATTGGTCGCATTTCCACAGGGCATATATTGACGTAAAACTGTGCCTAAATTCAGTCAATACTTTAAATGATTAGAAAGAAACATAGAGAAAAATTGTGGTTAACTATAGCGACGTTTTAGCGAAGGACACCCACTGGAGTTTCAGGAAATTTCGACAAACAAGACGCTTTGCTGAAAGACATGTAATACAGAAAATTTCAGATTTAGTATTGCACAGTTAAAGATTTTCCCTTTTGCAGCCTTATATCTAGAGAATAGCTATTAGGAAGGCAACTGCAATCCATACAATAATGTGTGTAGTAAAAATGCTGTGTGTATTGCTATTTGATAGTTTAGCAATAAATATACGGAAGGAATATAGGAAACGTAGCTATACGTAGCTAAAGTTTGTTTTAAATTTATCTGTTTCGCAACAGTGCTGTTTTCTTTTATGTTTTCCCTGTTCGCGCTGTCTTATACTATTTCGTAACAGTGCTGTTTTCTTTTATGTTTTCCCTGTTCGCGCTGTCTTATACTATTTCGCAACAGTGCTGTTTTCTTTTATGTTTTCCCTGTTGCGCTGTCTTATACTATTTCGCAACAGTGCTGTTTTCTTTTATGTTTTCCCTGTTCGCGCTGTCTTATACTATTTCGTAACAGTGCTGTTTTCTTTATGTTTTTCCCTGTTCGCGCTGTCTTATACTATTTCGCAACAGTGCTGTTTTCATTTATGTTTTCCCTGTTGCGCTATCTTATACTATTTCGTAACAGTGCTGTTTTCTTTTATGTTTTTCCCTGTTGCTATCTTATACTATTTCGTAACAGTGCTGTTTTCTTTATGTTTTCCCCTATTGCTGTCTTATCTATTTCGCAACAGTGCTGTTTTCTTTATTTTTCCCTGTTCCTGTCTTATACTATTTCCTGCTGGTCTGTTTTCATTTATGTTTCCTGTTCGCTGTCTTATACTATTTCATGTCTGTGCTGTTTTTCTTTTATATTTTCCCTATTCCGCTATCTTATACTATTTCGTAACAGTGCTGTTTTCTTTTATGTTTTCCTGTTCCTTTCATCTTATACTATTTCCTTAGTGCTGTTTTCTTTATGTTTTCCATTTTACTTTGTCTTATACTATTTCACAACAGTTCTGTTTTCTTTTAATGTTTTCCCTATTCCTTTATCTTACTTTTCATTAACAGTGCTGTTTTTCTTTATGTTTTCCCTGTTCTTTGTCTTATACTATTTCATAACAGTGCTGTTTTCTTTATGTTTTCCCTGTTCATGCTTTATCTTATACTATTTCGTAACGGTGCTGTTTTCTTTATGTTTTCCCTGTTCCGCTGTCTTATACTATTTCATGCTGTTTTCTTTCATGTTTTCCCTGTTCCTTCTTTCTTATATATTTCCTACTATTCTTCTTTCATTCTTTTTTTTATTTTCCCTATTCCTTTATCTTCTCTATTCCATCTTTCAGTGCATTTTTCTTTTATGTTTCCCCTATTCCTTATACTATTTGTAAGTGCTGTTTCTTTATGTTTTCCTGTTCGCTATCTTATACTATTTCGTAACAGTGCTGTTTTTCTTTATGTTTTCCTATTCCTTTCATCTTATACTATTTCATTAACAGTGCTGTTTTCATTTATGTTTTCCTGTTCCTTTGTCTTATACTATTTCGTAACAGTGCTGTTTTTCTTTATGTTCCCTGTTCTGTCTTATACTATTTCATTAACAGTGCTGTTTTTCTTTATGTTTTTCCTTTTATCTTATACTATTTCCATTCACTATCCTTTCTTCATTCTTCCACTATTTTCCATGTTATTTCCTTCTGTCATTTCTTATGTTTTCCTATTCCTTCATGTCTTATTCCTGCTGTTCATTTTTCTTTATGTTTTCCATTCTTTATCTTATACTATTTCCATTCGGTGCTGTTTTTCTTTATGTTTTCCTATTGCTTTGTCTTATACTATTTCTAACAGGTGCTGTTTTCTTTATGTTTTTCCTGTTGCGCTATCTTATACTATTTCTTGGTGCTGTTTTTCTTTTTATCCCTGTTGCTTGTCTTATATATTTCATTTCGGTCACTGTTTTCTTTTGTTTTCCCTGTTCCCTTCTAATCTTATACTATTTCATGTGGTCTTGTTTTCTTTATGTTTTCCTGTTCAGCTGTCTTACACTATTTCATGCTTTAAGTGCTGTTTTCTTTATGTTTTCCCTATTCGCTTGTCTTATACTATTTCCTGCTGTGCTGTTTTCTTTCATGTTTTCCTGTTTCCTGTCTTATACTATTCCTTAACAGTGCTGTTTTCTTTTATGTTTTTTCCTGTTGCGCTATCTTATACTATTTCATACACAGTGCTGTTTTCTTTATGTTTTCCCTGTTCGCTATCTTATACTATTTCGTAACAGTGCTGTTTTCTTTATGTTTCCCTGTTCGCGCTGTCTTATACTATTTCGTAACAGTGCTGTTTTCTTTTATGTTTTCCCTGTTCGCGCTGTCTTATACTATTTTCGCAACAGTGCTGTTTTCTTTTATGTTTTCCTGTTGCGCTGTCTTATACTGTTTCATTAACAATTCTGTTTTTTCATTTATGTTTTTCCCTGTTCGCTGTCTTATACTATTTCGTAACAGTGCTGTTTTCTTTTATGTTTTCCCTGTTCGCGCTGTCTCTCATTTCACGTAACAGTGCTGTTTTTCTTTATGTTTTCCCTGTTCCTTTAATGTTATACTATTTCATTGGTCTGTCATTTTCTTTATGTTTTCCTGTTCGCTTCATCTTATACTATTTCGCCACGGTGCTGTTTCTTTCCCTGTTGCGCTGTCTTATACTATTTCATTAACAGTGCTGTTTTCATTTATGTTTTCCCTGTTCGCGCTTCTGTATACCTTTCGTAACAGTGCTGTTTTCTTTCCATGTTTTCCTTTATCTTATGCTTTTCCATAACAATTACATTTTCTTGCATATGTTTTCCCTGTTCCTTTGCTGTCTTATATATTTTTCAACAGTGCTGTTTTTCTTTATGTTTTTCCTGTTCTTTATCTTATTCCTGCTGGTCTTTTCTTTATATTTCCCTTTCACTATACTATTTCCTCTGGTCCTATTTTCTCTTTTATTTCCCTATTTTCTATCTTATACTATTTCATGCTTTAGTGCTGTTTTCTTTATGTTTTCCCTGTTCCTTTATCTTATACTATTTCATGTAACAGTGCTGTTTTTCTTTTATGTTTTCCCTGTTCATGCTGTCTTATACTATTTCGTAACAGTGCTTTGTTTTCTTCATGTTTTCCTGTTCGCTTTCTATACTATTTCATAACAGTGCTGTTTTCTTTCATGTTTTCCTGTTCCTTTGTCTTATACTATTTCCTGCTGGTCTTTCATTTTCATTTATGTTTTCCCTGTTCGCTATCTTATATTTCGTAACAGTCTTTCCTTTTTCATTTATGTTTTCCTGTTCGCTTTCTTTATACTATTTCATAACCAGTGCTGTTTTCTTTATGTTTTCCTGTTCATCTTCACTATTCCTATTTCCATTTCTTTATATTCCCTATTCCTTTTTTCTTTTATATATTTCCTGCTGGTCTGTTTTTCTTATATTTCCCTGTTGCTGTCTTATACTATTTCATGTTTTCCATTTATCTTTCCTATTCCTTTATCTTATACTATTTCATGTGGTCTTTTTTTCTTTTATGTTTTCCCTGTTCATGATCTTATACTATTTCATGTGGTCTTTGTTTTCATTTATGTTTTCCTGTTGCGCTATCTTATACTATTTCGTAACAGTCTTTGTTTTCTTTTATGTTTTCCCTATTCCTTTGTCTTATACTATTTCATTAACAGTGCTTTGTTTTCTTTATGTTTTCCTCTGTTCCTTTGCTGTCTTTATACTATTTCGTAACAGTCTTTCATTTTCTTTATGTTTTCCTGTTCAGCTGTCTTATACTATTTCGCAACAGTGCTGTTTTCTTTTATGTTTTCCCTGTTGCGCTGTCTTATACTTTTATTTCGTAACAGTGCTGTTTTCATTTATGTTTTCCTGTTCCTTTATCTTACTATTTCAACAGTGCTGTTTTCTTTTATGTTTTCCCTGTGCGCTTTATCTTATACTATTTCATGTAGTGCTGTTTTTCTTTTATGTTTTCCCTGTTCGCTGTCTTATACTATTTCACTTACAGTGCTGTTTTCTTTTATGTTTTCCCTGTTGCGCTGTCTTATACTATTTCGTAACAGTGCTGTTTTCATTTATGTTTTCCCTGTTCGCTGTCTTATACTATTCGTAACAGTGCTGTTTTCTTCTTTATGTTTTCCTGTTCGCTGTCTTATACTATTTCGTAACAGTGCTGTTTTCTTTATGTTTTCCTGTTCGCTGTCTTATACTATTTCGGCAGTCACTGTTTTTCTTTATGTTTTCCCTATTCCTTCTTATACTATTTCATTAACAGTGCTGTTTTCTTTATGTTTTCCCTGTTCGCTGTCTTATACTATTTCATTAACAGTACTGTTTTCTTTTCCCTGTTCGCGCTGTCTTATACTATTTCTTCCAGCAATTCTGTTTTTCTTTCATGTTCCTGTTCGCTGTCTTATACTATTTCGTAACAGTGCTGTTTTCATTTATGTTTTCCCTGTTGCGCTATCTTATACTATTTCGTAACAGTGCTGTTTTCATTTATGTTTTCCCTGTTGCGCTATCTTATACTATTTCGTAACAGTGCTGTTTTCTTTTATGTTTTCCCTGTTGCTGTCTTATACTATTTCGTAACAGTGCTGTTTTCATTTATGTTTTCCCTGTTCGCGCTGTCTTATACTATTTCGTAACAGTGCTGTTTTCTTTTATGTTTTCCCTGTTGCGCTATCTTATACTATTTCATGTTCAATTCTTTCATTTTCATTATGTTTTTCCCTGTTGCGCTATCTTATACTATTTCGCAACAGTGCTGTTTTCTTTTATGTTTTCCCTGTTGCTGTCTTATACTATTTTGTAACAGTTCTTTTTTATGTTTTCCTGTTCGCTGTCTTATACTATTTCGTA